TAGAGAGCTCTGAGGGTCTGTGATGAAGTGCGATATGAAATCTGATGAATAATGAGGTCACATGTTCAGAGGTCGTGTCGTCGTACCTCCTTGTTCAGACGGTTGAAGACGTATTGCTGCTTGACGACCTCAAACCAGTTGCGGTCGACCTCCTCTCCCAGATGCGCGTCTTCACACTCTTTAAGTTTGATCAGAGCGTTCACCTGCGTCGTAAACGCCTCCTCGCTCAGAGTCGACAAACGCTGGCCGAAGCTGATGAGGAACTCCTCGATCTTCGCCTCCACAAACTCTGTGCTGCGAGATCGGAGAAGAAAGAGAAGGAAGGATAAAGATAAAGCTGAATGAATCTGCAGCAAAGGTCAACGGAGGTCAGCTCACCTGAACTTTGTGGCCTGTGTTTCCACGGTGACAGAGAATCCCAGCACCCCTGAGGTGTTCCTGCAGGTGGGGTACACCTGGTACCTGAAGGAGACACATCCTGATCACCAGAGTCCTTTTTGATTTTACAGCAGATGATTCAAATGTTTGATAATTATGGAGTTTAAAGAAGTTTGATTGAAGCAGATTTTGGACCAAGTTCATAAACACACTCGTTTCTAACAGTCCTTTTCATTATTCATGTTGCCATTTCACTGTCTGTGAACAAAAGTTGAACTATTTTCAAACAGGATTCAAGTTTTAAGATTTGAATAAAAAATGATCAAACTGACCCCAGAGTTTCTTTAGTCCTCAGGAAGTCGAAGCACGGCTCCTCCATGTGCATCTGAGAGACAGAGAGGTGGAGAACTACGTAAATATGAACGCCTGATTTTCTCTAAAGGTTTTTGATTTATGAGGCTTTTGATGAAGACAGAAAAGAATTAGACAAACTGAGTCTTTAAATCACATTCGCTGCCATCGTTTCATCCTGTTACTGACCGAATTGTTTTTAAAGATCCTTTGAATTTACAATAAAAGATTTATATAAGATATATTTATAGAGCTGTATAGATATTTAATTATTATTATTATTATTATTATGGAGCTGTTTAGATATTTATATAATTATTATTATAATTATTATTATTATATAGCTGTATTAATATTTATATAATTATTATTATAATTATCATTATAATTATTATTATATAGCTGTATAGATATTTAATTATTATTATTATATAGCTGTATTGATATTTATATAATTATTATTATAATTATTATAATTATTATTATATAGCTGTGTCGATATTTATATCATTATTATTATAATTATTATTATTATTAATATATAGCTGTATAGATATTTATATAATTATTATTATTATTATTATTATTATTATTATTAATATATAGCTGTATAGATATTTATATAATTATTATTATTATTATTATTATTATTATTATTAATATATAGCTGTATAGATATTTATATAATTATTATTATTATTATAATTATTATAATTATTATTATTATTAATATATAGCTGTATAGATATTTATATAATTATAATTATTATTATTATTATTATTATTATATAGCTGTATAGATATTTATATAATTATTATTTTTATTATTATTATTATTAATATATAGCTGTATTGATATTTATATAATTATTATTATAATAATAATTATTATTATATAGCTGTATTGATATTTATATAATTATAATAATTATTATTATTATTATTACTATATAGCTGTATAGATATTTATATAATTATTATTATAATAATTATTATTATTATAGAGCTGTATAGATATTTATATAATAATAATAATAATTATTATTATTATTATTATTAGAGCTGTATAGATATTTATATTATTATTATTATTATAATAATTATTATTATTATTAATATATAGCTGTATAGATATTTATATAAGATCATTTCCAACAGAAGAACTTTATTCCTAAATGTTATTTGTCTGAACTCTCACGTCTCGTCTTTTATCTACAGAAGAAACAGGCGGATGGTTGGAAATAAAGATCTTCTGAATCTCTCCGTCCTGCAGCGAAGTCAGACGAGCCGTCCGTGACCTTTGACCCTTTGGTCCATCATGCTGTTATAAAATGATGATCCTTGTTCTGAGACGAACCTCCACCTTCCTCAGTCTCCACCTCATCCTCCTGTGAGACTTCCCTCAGCTGCTGACAGTCCAATACCTGACAGGAGAACTTCTCCTTCTTCACAGTCCTGTGTGAGGAGTTACTACAGACCTCCTCCTTTCTTCTTCGACTCGCTTTTATGATCTCTGTCCGACCGTCTGAGAGTTCATCAGGTAGATCCAAACTGGAGTCCGAGTCGTTCTGATTTAACTACGTTTCAGTAAAACTCTGGAGACTGAACTCACAGATGTTCTCTTACAGATGTTCTCAGTCTTCACCGATATCTCCGCTTCAGTTTCCCATCATGACTGAAAAAAGTTTCTGTCTCCATTTTCTAACTTTGTCTTTATGACCAAAACCAGAGACGACCAAAGAAGAAGAAACTGATCGACGTTTTCCACCGTCCAACATCTTCAACTCTCAGAGATTTCATCCTGTTAACCTCGTTAACTTCTTTAACCGGATTTTACATTAAAAACTCATTTTTATACACACACACACACACAGACAGACAGACACACACACACACACACACACACACACACACACACACACACACACACAGACATCAAAGTCTCACCACCATCAGCTCCATCAGAGCGTGCTCTCTCAGCTTCTTCAGTCCGGACTGAAAACATGAACACATGAAAAAATAAGTGAGTCAGTGAAGAACGAGAAGGTTCAGGGGTTCAGGGTTTCAGGGGTTCAGGGTTTCAGGGTTTCAGGGTTTCAGGGTTTCAGGGGTTCAGGGTTTTAGGGGTTCAGGGTTTCAGGGTTTCAGGGGTTCAGGGTTAGACAAAGACGGACTGATCGGTCGGCGGAAACTCTTCTGTTTGTAAAAATGCTGCTGAGAACATTTTTGAATGAAGATTAAATTAAATGAAGATTAAATTAAATGAAGATTAACTGATTGAGATTCTTTCATTCATCCAAAAATTCAGACCAGAAATTTTATTCAAATGATGGAAATTTGTTCAATGTGATTAAAATGTGACCAATAATAAGTGAGTGTTGATATTCAGAGATGAAATGTGATTCAAATGTTTTTTCTCTTAATTGGACCTTAAAGACTGAAAATCGTACCTGGAAGTAGACGGTGACCTCGGAGTTGGCGTCTCCTTTGTTTAGTGACTTGACTTTGCAGAGATGATGTTTATGAGGCAGCTCCACCACTTGGAACAGAACAGGGACCTCTGCTGACAGGGCCTGGAACTGCAGTTTACTGCAGACAGAGATCAGTGAATGTTCATTATTCTGTGAGTCAGAGTTCATACTGAGCATGCTCAGTATGAACTCTTTATGTGAAGATGTCAGAGTTTTACAGCTCTGCCTCAGTGTTGAACGTCACATCTGTTAAAGTGTCAAAGTTTGATTATTATCATCTGAAGATTTAAGTTTTTAGATCCTTCAATCATTGAAAAGTCGGGGTCTGATCTGAAGTGTTATTAGGGTTAGTGTGGGGGTCAGAGTCAGGGTCAGGGGTCAGAGTAAGGGTCAGGGTTCGGGTTTCTATCTGTGCCTAAGAAAATCATGCTGACTCTAAAGCGTGTCGGTGTTCAAATGAAGCAGCGTACTCACTCGGTGAAGTACTGCAGAAACTCTTTGGACTCCTGTGAGAATTAAAGAACAAAAATACGGATGAACTTTGTTGGTGAAGCTGCTAAATCAAGACGAACTGTGAATTTAAACATCTCTAAGTCTGATTTCGTCTCACTGTGGCGGTGAAGTTTCCCTGCACCAGCCCCTCGGCATATAGCTCCGCCTTCAGGCCGGACACAAAGGTCAGGAGGTCGTCCACGGTCAGACCCTCCATGACGGCCCGATACTTCTGGATGACGGACCAGCGGCAGTGCTCCAAGATCAGCAGACGGACATCCCTGCAGACAGACGTGAGGTCGACCATGAGATCTGACACACAGAGCGGTCCGGCCTATCGGGTCACATCAGGTGTGTGTGTGTGTGTGTATTTTTGTGCATTTTAGTGTGTGTGTGTTTGTTACATACTTGCCCAGCCTCTCGGGTTTGATCAGGATGTTAAAGTAGGTTTTCTTCAGCTGCTCGGTGAACATGGTGAAGACGCTCGGCTCTGTCTTGAACTCGGCGAGGTGATCCACGATGAGCCTCAACAGCAGCTGAATCAGCAGGAACAGGAACTTAGAGCTGGGTAATTATCAAACATAATTATCTTAATAACCCTGTTTTTATAGATCACCCCCTCACCGGCAGTTTGTGGTTGAACCCTTTGAGTCGGATCACCAGGCCGTGTTCTCCGGCCACCAGCTTGTACTCCAGCTGAGCCACGTCGGCCTCGTACGCCGGCTCGGCCAGGTTATGAGCCAAGATGTTGACAAAGATGTCAAACAGAACCAGACTGAGAGAGAGAGAGAATAAAGGGTTAAAGACGAATTCTTCTTCATCATCGTCACGGTAAAGGATCGGAGTCTCTTACTTCTCTGGACTCTTCTGGATGAGCGGGGAGATCAGGTTAAAGCGAATATAAGCTGAAACACAAAGACGTGTGAGTGAGTGAGAGAGAGAAACACACGGTTTTCTTCTTCATGTGTTTTTTTATGACGCTGTATTCAAACCCGACGTTCAGCCGGGGTCACCCAGAGATCCCGGCTTCATCCCTTCTCCTGGTTTTTGTGCGACAGGCCGCTGGACTCACCTTTCGGGATCTTGAACTTGTTGTCCTTTTTGAACCACAAACATCCGCGCTCGTTGTTCACGATCCTCACAGGAAACTCGGTGTCGGGACAGTCGGAGGTCTTCAGGTGGAACTCTGTGGCTGTAACACACAGGTGAGCAGACAGGTGTTAAACTGTCTCAGAAACAGCGAACAGTCAAAATCACGATGTTCGGGTTTGTTCACACCGATAAACTTGTTCTCAGCAGGAAGGTGGA